CTAAAAATAATAATTAATTTTTCAATAGGAATAGACTCATTTAAATTTATTATAGTTACCAAAATATCCCTCCTCCCTCCCCCAGAATTTGAGGCGAATAAAACTCATTAATATTTTTACGAATATTATAGGTATTTTCTAAATTTAAATTTTAATTATTTATAACGAACAGCCAAAACTACAAGCACATAAGCCTAATATGGCAGAAAAAATTTTTTAAGAAAAATAGAACTTATGTCATTGAACTTATTAGGGCAAAGCTTTAGATTCCTTCGGATTTTCAAACTCAATCACCTCTTAAGAATACTAATTTTTTCTAATTTTAATCATTTTAGGAGCAATTAATCACAATTTTCTTATAATTAGTATACTCGAAAGTTATATTCTGGTTGAGTTCAGAATTGGAGAAATTGAAATTATCCCACCTAAAAGGCACAATATTTATTTGTCGGAAACTAAAGTAGATGATGGAAAGTGGCATTATTTTACCTTATTTCAAGTAAATAATTAAATTATTATATCAGAGATGGGTAGGGATGAGAAAAATGTCGGTTTCGGGTTGGATCAGTACCCTTGATGTCCTCCTCAGATCCTCCTTTATACTTCGTTATCCAAGGAGGTTAAGGATATTTTGTAATTTAAGGAGGAGGTTTAAGAGGGATGAATGTAATCCATTTTTAATCCTAATGTCGGATAGATCCCTAAAATGGATATAGGAAAGCTATCGAGAAATTAAGAGTCTTAGATCTACATCCCTTATTGAATCCTAGATGTAATACCCAAACCAAACCCAATCCATAAATATCAATCTAGCAAATTAACGTTACTAATCTTTATAATTAAATATAATTTTATGCCAGGCTTGGGAGAATATTAAAATCCAGCTTGACGATGAAATTGTATTTTGTTTATTAGACAAACAAAAAAGTTTTATGCTTGGAAATATTCGAACAAATTCTGATATTTTTGTTGGTGGAATACCCAAAGTAAATAAAGAAATGTTTTTAAACAAACATACATATAAAGGATATTTCGTTAATGAGGATATTCCCTTGATAACCGCCTTAATCCGCTATCTCCTGATATCCACGATTTAGGGATAAGAATGATATCGTGGGAGTTTGGTGAGGAGGATTAGAAAAATCAAAATTAATTTGATAATTTTAATAAAAAAAGATTCGAGAAATGTTCCAAAAATACCAAAAAAACTTTCTTTATTCTAAAAAAATTTTAGTTTTGTTATTTTTTTCATTTAAAAAATATATTTTGCACTTTTGGGGACTATATTTACATACATAAGCCACTAGGGATTTATTTTCTTTTTTGAAATTAGCTGTGAAAAAGGACGACACTAAATTATCTTACGAATATTTTGGACAATAGACAAAATAATTATTTTTTAATAAAAATAAATGATAAAAAAATATCGTGAATGTTCTAAGTATAGCCCGGCTCTATTAGAAGCCTATATTTAATACAGGCCCATGCAGAGTTGGCCTATTTAAAAATAAACACCCAGTCTCTGATAGTAGAAGCCTATATCTAATATGAATCCAATCAAGATGACCTATTGGAAAGATAAGGCCCAGAGCTTTAATTAGAGCATTTTATTAATTTTTGAAGACAAATTAATAAAAGACAAATTAATAAAAAAATTAAAAATTATTTTTAAAAATTTCACAAAAATTCAAAAGGATGTCGAAAAACTCAGCGCTCCTTTAAGAAGATATTCTAAAAGATTTGCTGGTTTAATTCGTAATTTAATGTATAGAATATATCCACAAGGAATGGCTGCACCTTTAATGATTGACTCTTTTGGTACTCGAAAAACTGATGATAATTATTGTTTGAAGTAATTGTAATTAAATTATTTATTTAATTTCTGATTGTGAAAACAAGGGTTATTATTAAATATCATTAATTTGTGTTTTTGAATCAAAAAGTTACCGACAGATTTTTGATAGGAATTAGTATAGATAAGACTCCATGATCCGTAGTGCGACACTTGCGGACCGACTTTTGCGGACCGACATTTGCGGACGGACATTTGCGGATTGCGGACCGACTTTTGCGGATCGGACATTTGCGGACCGTTTTTGTGAAAAAAATTTCAAAAAATTAAATTTAATTTTCAAAAACAAAAATCCGCTTTTACTTTTTGAAAATCCGCTTTTACTTTTTTCCGATCCGCTTTTACTTTATTTCGATCTAACAAGTTAGACAAAGTTATGATCGTTTATTTTAGCTCTTTAACTATTGCATCCGTGGAGTTTTTGCTGCTGCGGGGAAGCTGGGCATGACCATGTTATCGATGATAGGAATAGGCTTAAGTTTCGAGCCCAGAAACCAGCGACCGTTGACTCCCCGCAGGTGCGTGCCGCAAAACCCCGCGCAAAGCGCGCTCGCCTAATCTCCATAGATTTACGTTGACCATTTTGATAAAAAAAGTTGCTCTTCGAAAAAATATTAAAATAAAAATATTTTTTTTTGTTTTTGAAAATTAAATTTAATTTTTCAATTTTTTTTTCCTAAAAACAGTCCGCAAATGTCCGATCCGCAAAAGTCGGTCCGCAATCCGCATATGTCGTCCGCAAATGTCCGATCCGCAAATGTGTATCCGCAATCCGCAAATGTCCGTCCGCAAAGGTCGGTCCGCAAAAGTCGGTCCGCAAGTGTCGTACAATCCCATGATCTAATAGAAACTCATAATAAGTGCTCGGAACAATAGTACCGTTGAGCTACCGAAAACCTATCTCCGGTACCATCAGAAACGTCTAGTTAGATTATGAAATTTTCGATACATGTTCGGTACAATTAGTTTTTTGATACTACTGGTTTCGAAAATTTTTATGCCGAACACTACTTATATTTTATTCACGGCTCAACCCCAAAAAATTTATTAAACTTGATATTTATTTACTAATGAAAATTATATTAATATATAAATTATCTTTAAATTTATTTTTCCTTTAGAGAACACAATTCAAAGCATATAGAATCAAAAGATGGAAATAACTTTTGTTTAAATTCTGGAATGTGTTATAGTGCAAATAGTGGTCCTCGTTGTGATTGCTTCTTTTCAGATTATGAAGGGAGAAAATGTGAAAATAGTGAGGGAATTTAATAAAAATTATAATTCACCTTAAATTTAATATGTCCCGGCTCTTATTCATACGTGGTTAAGTCAAAAAGTTTAAACAATACTAATATTAACAAAATTCCGACTTTTAATCCTAATTTCGGAGATTGGGAACTCCAATTGATATTTTATTGAAGATTTCAGAAATCAAGAATTTTTTAGTCCCGATTTTGTAACGACTTTCGGGAATTTCTAAGGGTACTTGTATGAATAATACGAGTTACCAGTTGATAGCAGCCGAAAACTATCTAATATAAGTCTAATCAAATTGTTCTATTGAAAAGTAGTATCCCGGGTTTTATTAAAGCATTTATTGTATGAATTAATTAATTTTATAGAAAAGCCAAGCACAGAAGTATCATTTTTTGGAAATGAATGGATAGGCTATGATAATTTACATAATGAAGGGAATAATAATGGAATTAATGATGAAGACCTTTTGGCCGTATTGAGTCATCGAGAAATTTTTAATATCTCCTTTAGAACCAATTTTTCTAAAAATTCTCTTCTGTTTGTTGCTGGGGATTCTAAGGTATATTTCTAAATATTTATGGGAGGGGGGATTAAATGGAAAATAAAAATTGGATATTAGCATAGCCCCATTCTCTGAATTGGAGAAATTTTAAATTTTAATTTAGAAAATTAAAAATTTTCCTCTTTTATAAGCACAATTATGGAGAAAAGGAAGTTTTTGTGGATTATTAGTGAAAATACGCTATTTTTTTGTGAAAAATGTCTGTCTATTACATTGAGCATTATTATTACTCTATTACTCACTCAGTACCACGAAAATCCCCTTCCCCGAAGATCTTTTTGGCAAAAAGCCTGAAACCCCTAAATGCCCTCCTGAAACCTCGATCATGGAGGGTCGGGATTCTCCACTTAGGTAGAGTTGGCTGTAAATTAATGGAGATTCTCGTTTTAGTTATTATTTGTGAAGGTTTAAAAGTGAAAGATGTTTTATAAAAAAGCGATTTAATTATTATTTTTCAAAAATTAAGAGTAATTTTAAATTAACAATTGAAAATGGAGAACTTCTAGCAACCCATCAATTGGCAGAAACTGAAAAACGCCTTATTCGTGTGCAAGATCGTAACCAAAGATTACCTCTACATTTTGATAATAATTTATGGCATAGTGTTTGTGTTGTGAGAGAACTGAATTCTGTAGGTTTTAATTTTGAGATTTGGATAAAACGAGATCTTGGTGAAAATCTCGGTTATCATAATATAACAAATGATATGATCCATGATATAGCAAAAAGTCCGATCCATAATCTTCATAATTGGAGTGAATATATTCAAATATTTCTTTTGAAGATATTTCCTCTCACAAAGTAGAATATCTGCGGTGTCTGTGGGACTTCGGGATGAAATTTGGTAATTTGATCGATCATACCCTACGTTAGCAGCTAAATTGCTTGAAATTTCATAACTAAAGTAAGGTATAATCTTTCTGTCTACCAAATTTCATCCCGAAGACCCAGGGACACCCTTTCTCAGGCCGACCAAGACACTTGTTTGAGAATGTTTTTGAGTACTTAATTGAAAATTATCCGTCAACCTAGATATTAGGGTCTTATCCTAAGGGACCTTTTCATAAGTATATAAATCTCTAAATCTTAAATTCTAGCCTGGATTTAAAGGTGCTGTCATTTCGGTAGGTCTGCCATCAATTCACGAAAAAATATTTTTCTGTTCCGTTTTTGTATTGCAGTATTAAAAATCAAAAAAATTCTGTTAAGGAGCACTTATATCTTTTAAAATATTTTCTCAACTTTTTTAAAACTTTTATTTGCTGTGGCCATTCTGGGCATTTTTCTTATAAATTTTTTCTTTCATTTTCCTTGATAGATAATTAATTCAAAATTTAATTTTTTTAAAGATCCGTCTAATTGTTGATGACATTTTTGATCAAAAAGTTTTACAATTCACCCCACGATTAAAATGGCTAGGAAATTCTTTCTTTTTTGTTGGAGGTGTGCCTCAATCTTTGAGGCATTTAATGCCGCCAGAACATTTATTACCTTTTCGTGGATGCCTAAAAAAGGTGTTTTTATAAAGAATCTTGTGCTAGAAAATAATATATTGGCGGTCTCATACATTTGATTTACCACAATTTTGAATCCCCCATGTTAGATGTAGAATCGAGGTTCTCATGAATAATCGTTAAGTCATAAGATCAACCTATTTCACTCGCTAACAGAATAAAACAAGAATAGAATAATATCTTTATCACAAGAGTAAATATATGTACAAGAATAATAATAATAGAATTAGGTATTAATGATCAAGGAAAGGAAGCGACTGTACTTCAGATTTCGATCAAGACTGATCTCTAATGACTATTAAGCACACATTTAATACTAGACACACATACCTTATAATTGTTATTTTTAATTCTTCAAATTTTTTTAAAAGTAACTTGATATTTAACCAAGCTTTCAGATATTTTTCCAATCGGGTCCTGTTGAACTAAATTTAATTCAATTGGCAGATCAAGGATTTGGTCAATCTAATGGTGTGTTTTTTTAATAATAATTATATTAATTTAGAAAAGATTTTATTTAAAAGATTAATAAAAGTGATAAATAACAAATAATATTTCCATTAAAGTTGAATCATAAAAAATAATTTTAAAGTCCAAACTTTTGGTGACCTTACATTTTCTTGTATGCCAAGTGCTCAAAATGCTCCTTTGGTTTTCTCATTTAATAATGGAAATAATTATACTAAATTACCTCCTTGGCGTTCTCCATCCCGTGGAACTTTAGGTCTGTTTTTGGAGAAATTTAATTTTTAAAAATCAAAATACAAAGTTAATCTGATAAAGAAAAAGATCTCATTGCTTCTTAACTGCCCTTTTATTAATTTATAAATAGAGATCAGTGTCGGTATTGATCGTACAATGTTCAAAAAAATCTCTATTTCGATAACCGAGGTTTCAGAAAGATAGAAGAGAGAGAGAGAGATCATATTGAGTGAGATTACCATATTTCAGAGAGGGAGAGTGAGAGATAGAAAGAGAGATACTGAGATTTGATGGGAGATTCAAAACAAATTTTATAGTCTATACAGTATCTCTTGCTGTAAATAATAATTGCTTTAAGCCTTCCAATTCCGAACATTAACCCCCGATGGATTACTTTTATATTATGGAATGTCACAATGCAGTAATTTTACCATTTGTGATTATTTGGCTTTTGAATTAATTGATGGACATTTATTTGTGAGATAAAATTTAAAATAATTGATTTAAGTCACCTTTAAGATGATAGTAAATCTGGGATCAGGTGATATACGACTTCAGGTAATAAAGTTGAATAGAAGAGTTGATTAAAATTTGAAATTCTTTTCAAATTTTAAGGGGTGGCCGAACGTTTCGTCACTGAACTTTTCGTCACCGAACCTTTCGTCAAAACCTTTCGTCACTGAACCTTCCGTCACCAAACCTTTAGTCACTGAACCTTTCGTCACTATTCACCATAAAAAAGAGAAAGCACATCTGGATGGACAAATTTAACAAAATAGATTTATGGAAATTAAGTTGAATAAAAGAAAGTTCTATCCAGAACCAACAATTCGTTGGAGGGATGGCACAATGCATGGGGCTCCTTACTTGAACAAAATCCGTTGTTAAGTAAATTTGTAAAGCGAATGATCAAAGAATTTGCAAGATGGGAACAAATAATTGCTGACTATAATAATGCACCGGCAAATGGTATCCGAGGAAAGAGACTTAAGCGGAAGTCGGTTTATGTCATTCAAGATCAAAATTTGCAACAAATATTTGCTGAATTTGCGGATATAGTTTAGTATACCGGAGTCTTGGTTTCGACACAAGACCCATACCATTCGATTCGTCTCGGCGAGCTGAGTCGAATGGTACCATTCTTTTTTTCCGGAGATGCCTGTGAACCGAGATATAGGCCCCCGAAAATCGAAAAACCATAGGGGGGGGGCCAAGCACTTTTTTGGGGTGAAAAATTTGAATATGCAAATTATAACTCATTCGAAAGAGCTCATCGAGATGAGTCGAATGACACCAAAATCAGCTCAATATCTTGATTTAGAGCCAAGATAAAAAAGTTCAAAATGGTCAACGTAAACCTATGGGGCGTAGGCGAGGCGCTTGTGCAAAACCCCGCGCTTATAACTAAATTACCGATTATGATCAATTTGTCATTTTTGACAACTTCTTATTTGATTTTTAAAAATAAAGTCTTGGTGGCGAAAGGTTCAGTGACGAAAGGTTTTGACGAAAGGTTCGGTGACGAAAAGTTCAGTGACGAAACGTTAGGGAACCTTTTAAGGCCTCTGCAAAATCCCTGAACGATGGCTTATGGCATAGCGTTGTTATGGAAAGGGGTGGGCGTAAAGGTGGATTGGATTTTTTAAAGAAATTTGGATAACTTTTGTATTAAAATTTTCAAAGGATTTATCTCAGTTGATTCACTCCGAACTGAATTTTCCTGCCCCGGAATCTCAGCAAATTTAGATATCGGTAGAACATAAATGTTGTCATAATTTAGTTAAATTTATATAGATGAACCAATTTTCCTTGGAGCTGTCCCTTGGCCTGACTTATTTTCTTTTGATCAAGAAAATGATAATAAAGTTGAAGCTGTAACAGTTATTGAAATGGATGAACCTGTTGAAATGAAAAGAAATTTTCCTTCATCTGTAATTAGTTTTTCATTTTCTTATAATGTGACGCCGGCACTGGCTATGGTTCAAGGAGCTTGCCTGGATCCGGAATCGGTCGTAGCTGTCTTTGAAATGTCCGGAGCCAGAGCCAAGATTAATGATTTTCAGGGTCCAAAATAAGCTCAAAATCACTGGTCTGCTCTATTAATTAGTGTGTTCCAGACTGTGACTTTAACTCTGACCCGAGCTTCTTACATAACCCCAACACTTCCACAACAGTAGTGAATTCAAAGCTCTATTTTTATAAATTTTTAAAGGTTTGGACAATAAATCTTCGTCAAGGCTTTCTTGGATGTATGAAAAATATTCGTTTAAATGGTATAAATATCGAAATTGCACATATGTTTCAGTCAACAAAATTATTGCCAACGGAAAGACCAACTGAAAGAAGTCTTTCATCAAAAATAAATACATGTAATTATTAAAATATATATATGCGGTATTAATAAAATACCGAATTTCCTTGAATACTTACACTTTGTAATTAATGTTTTAACCTAACGATAGGATAGTTAATTAATCGAGGGAGATCGAACGCTTACATGCGAGCATGTAATTTCGATGATTGGACTTGAATTATTTTTCGGGATTAATCTCATAATCCCAAGATCCCTGGACTGAATCCCCTGGAATCCTATACGGGAATATCCCGTAATTCCGCATGTGAAAATCTCGAAATTTCGTAATTAATCGAAAAAATATAAGCTTGAAAGATTGTCTCTATTATTAAAATTTTGTTTTAACATTATTTTTAAGCAATCTCACTTGGTTGCCCCTTCTCTTTCTCTGTTGATTTTTGTAAAAAGCCTGGCAGCAAGAATCCATGTAAAAATGGGGGTATTTGTTCATCATATCACAATTCATTTCACTGTGATTGTTCTGATACTCCTTTTGACGGAATTAATTGTCAACAAAGTTTCAAAGATATTATTTAAAAAATATTTTTTTTAATTTTAAGAGCCTCGCCCTTTGCCTTTCCCTCTACCAGAATCTCTCTCAGCCAGATTTCATTTTTCCGACTCATGGCAGTTGGAGGCAGAAAATTTAGAAATTAAATTTCGTCCAAAGCTGGGAATAACTTTAAATGAATTAAATAAACAGAAAAAACTTTTTGTTTTAATTGATACAAAATCTGATATTATTAACGAAAAAGATGAAGATAAACAACGTTTGTTGGTAGCAATTACAGGGAGTGGAGGATTAATTGTACATTGGGTATTTCAAGGGAATGAGCAAAGTGTTGGTTGATTTTATCAAAAAATAACATAATAAAATGATATAATTTGATCAAAAAGGGATTTTGTATCTAGAGGAAGAGATCAAGGATCATGGGGATTCTGGGTATTGGTTCCTCCTTTCCATTTGTAGTTTTATATCCGGCCGGTCTAAAGCCAGCTCCGAAGCTAGCTATTGGAGCCATACACAGGATGGAACGGTTGAGAAGAAGATCGAGTCGGCGTTTCAAAATGTTCTTCGGATCGGGTTTTGGGTCGAAAAAGTTCAGCTTTTCGGGTACGAGTTCTCTGGTTATTCGTCCCATCCATTATCCACACACTTTTTATGTTAAACTGTTAAACTTGTTGGAGTTGGGCTGTTAAAGATCTTTCAATTACAATTTTTGTGTGATCTTAATTTGATTAACTTATTAAATTATAGACTTTTAATCTGAGCTCTGCAAACATTACAAATAATAGCCATTGGCATTCGCTCAAGCTAATAAGAAGGGGGCAACGAATGGGGTTAAAATTGGATGGAAAATGGCATAATCGTAAGTGTTTTTATTAAAAAATGAATTAATAATTTTAATTTATTTTTGACAGAATCACTAAATAATATTGCAAACAAGCCTTTAATTCTCTCTATTAATGAAATAGCTATTGCCCAACCAATTGAAACTGCTAAAATAGCAAGTAAATTTTTGAATATTTTGTTTTAGAATATTTTTTATTAAAATTTTTTCTTTCCATTTTAGATAATTTAGAGCATCTGTTTCGTTTCCACGGCGATTTAAGGATTCTTTCATTGAATGGGCATGATTTATTAAGGCCGATACGTGTTATGAAAAGACGAAAAGGTGAATTTTGAAAATAATTTTAATTATAATTTTTTGAAAAATATTAAAACAAAATTCACAATTTTATGTGAAAATTCTTTTCATTTTTAAAAATTATTTTCTTACAATTGAATTATCCCTCCGCCATTTTCAGTATTTTCTTTTATGAATTATAATACGCGCATAAAGATCAGGTGTCAATTTAATGTAAACTCGAGATTTAATAGAGGGAAACAGCTTCAGAAATATTAATGGCAACAAGTCAAATCACATTTAGGGATCTAACACTTATTTGTTAGTTATTTCGACATATGATATTTGGTTCGGGATTAATCCAAACCTTCTCCCACAAAATCGAGACTAAATAAATATTTATAATTTTTCACAAGAAGGAATAATAAAAGTAAAAAAATTTGGGAGATAAATAATACGACATCATCATTTTCTAGGAAATTTTGCTAGGAATTTTCTTTACAAAAAAATTTTAAAAATATTTTGTAAAAAATATTCACATTACTCGATTATTTGACATTCTATCCCTAAGTCTTTTTTTATAAAATTTTGGAAATTTACTTAGGTACTTGTGGGTTATCCCTAACCAGTACTTACGGACAAATTTATGCGGACTCAGTTATGTACGAAAAGGTCAAATATTCTCCCTTTCTCGATTTCACTCAATTTTCTCTGTGGCATTCTTCAATGAGGGCATCAAAGGGAAAAGATTAATTTTAAATACAAATGACCGATTTTTAAATAAGTGTTGAGGGGAAAATAATGGGTGAGGGGAAAAAGAGGTGAAGGTTTTCCATTTTCCAAAAATAGTCCAGATAAAGCAGTTTTGTCAATTCGTCCAAATTGGTCAGACAAAACAAAAATTGGTCCTGAAAACATTACAAAAAATTAATCTTTTCCCTTTGATGCCCTCATTGAAGAATGCCACAGAGAAAATTGAGTGAAATCGAGGAAGGGAGAACATTTGACCTTTTCGTACATAAATGAGTCCGCACAAATTTGTCCGCAAGTACTGGTTTGGGATAACCCACAAGTACCTTTACTTAAATCTGGGATAGTTTACAAGCCTTATTTGCATATCTTCTTCCCAGCCTATTTGAATTTAACAAATTTTCTTTAATTTATATCAACTCCATTTAAATTTTTATTAAATTTTCTTTTAATCTTTCAAACAATTAATTGTTCTATTTATAAAAAACTTTTTTCATTTTTCTGCAACATTTTCTCGTTTAAATTCGACTCCCTTTTCTCACATTTCCATGCCTTATTTAACTTGAAACTATTCCAATTTTAACATTTTCCTCTTGACACAAATTGGATTAGTAAAAAAAATTCTTTTGGCACTTTTTTCTTGTTTTTTACTTGTTTTTTATAAAGAAATGTTTTTTTTACTCTGCGCACATTTTCTTTCCTTTTTTTAATTTTAAGGGAGGAAATAGGAAATTACTTTATATATTCCAATAACCACCATTTTTCCTTTCTAACAACTTGTACATATGTATTTATTATTAAATACATAAGCTACTAAACTAAATTCTTAGAAAAATTTTGGGGGAAATTTTATGCATAATTTTAAATATTTTTATAAAATAAGGAAATTGGCGAAACAAAATTTTGAAGAAAAATTTTTTGGGATCTGTTGCTCGGATCCATTATCTAGGGTATCTACTAGTGTTGCGCCGGAAGTTCCGGTTCCGGCCCGGAACCAAAAAAGTAATCCGGTTCCAGATTCGGTCCAAATTTCAGTCCCGGTTCCGACCAAATTTGCGGTGCCGGCGCAATCACCTCACTGACATTTTACAAAACACAATTTTTTTATTTTTCATTAAAAAAACATTTTTCAGGTCCCTTCCAAAATTATTTTTACTTTTTCTTATTATTTTTGAGTCAGCAATTGACACATTCCCTTTACCAATATTTTTTTCTCTTCAAATTTCGTCATTTTCTATTTAAAAGCTTTGCCTTCTAAACACTTCTAAACACTCTTTAGAATTTTTATTTTGGCACCTCAATTACTTTTTTCTTTAAATTTGGAAAATATTTTTTTTCGAGTCTTCACTTTGAATGACGATTAAATATGTAGCTTTGCACAAAATTTTTTTTGTTAAACTTTGTACTTTAATTAAATTTTGTGTTTAGAATGAAAATTATTAATTTTAAAATTGCAAAATTCTGAAAAGAATATTTTTGGATAAAACCTCAAAAAATAATTTTAATAGGCCCAACAAAAGGATGGGTCGTATACCTCAAAAAACCTATGCCCGCAGAGCTGTTTTAAAAACAAAATGGCGCCAAAATTCGGTACTCGAAATTTCTTGACAGCTTTTATCCGAGCCCAAGAAAATATTTAAAACAAGCCCAAAATCCTATTCAAGTTTTCTTAATTTGAAACTTGAGCAAAAGAAAATTTTGAAAACTCAACTCTATACCGACCCGAATTTCTTCTAATCCACCCATATTTAATATCCCATCGAACTCTCAAGATTTTTAAATTTAAGATTTTATCTTCGACATTTATTTTTATATTTTCTTTCATATTATACATATGTATGGCATATTTTTAATTTTTTGCCTAGACATTATTAATCCATTATACTCCCTTTGTTTTCAATTTTTAACTCATTTAATTCCCTAAAAATTATTTTTGCCATAATCTTTGCAAGAAATAACCATTTAATATTTTACTTTTATTGTTTAAAATATAAAATACTTTTCCCCTTTTCTTTCATATCTTATAGCTCCCATCATTTGTCAAAAACGTAAAAATGCCAAAATATATATTTCTTATACATATCTGTTACCGAGTTATTGAAATGGCAATGTCAAGGGGCAGAAAAAGGCTCTTCCTTAAAAAATATTTTTTTCCTACTTTTCTTTGAGTTTCTCCCAAGCTAATATCAGTGCTTACTCATCTTCCAGCATTCTTTCTTTAAAATATTATGGCACATTATGGCACCAAGGAATTTTATTTATATGAAAATATTTTTCAAATTTTATTCTGAAATTTTTCAAGAATTTTTGGAATTAAGCAAATTTTAATTGAGGTTTTACGACGTAAAGCCTAAGTTTATTTTGATGTTTATGCATAAAGTTAAAAATGCCTGCATAATTTATTGGATAATTTTAATATTTTTTATCCAATTTCCTTACTAACTCGAGAAAGTTGAGATTTTTCGAGGCTGAGTAGTTTTTAAAAATACTCTGATTATGTTCTGACTAGTAAAGAGACAGAGATTGAATCGCACTTACTAGGATTGTTAATTTATAGAGAATTTTAAAATATTCGATACTGAAACCAAGAACCGAACACAAAAAATCATTGGATCTTCGGTTCGGCTCCGAATCAACCTACCTATTTTCTACTATAGTCTATTTATCAAATTTATTGGGTTAATAGTGCTGCTTTAATAATAATAACGGGAATTGAAAATTTCTCTTGAATCTCAATTTTCGATTATAAAATTTTTATCTAAAAATTGGCAAATTTCTGTAATTTTATCTAACATTCTCTCCAAAATTATTTATACAATATTAACATTTTGATCTGAAAAAATAATTTCATATTTAAAAATTTATATTAAATTTCTTTTTATATCTATTTAATTAAAAATGCATGTTTTACATATTTCTAAGCTAATAGCACGTAGTACTTATATTTAACTACATATTAATAATTTATATTTTAGCTCTTTTATGTTCCCATAGACTTTTATTGAATTTTTCTTAGATTTATTTAAATTAGAATTAATTTTAAAAATTTTATTCTCTCAATTAAAATTTTAAAAATTAAAAAATTTTTTAAGGTTCTTCAACATCCTCACAAATTCAAGAATTAAATTTAAATTCTTCCGAACAAGTAGGAACGACAAATTCTAGAATGGAAAATAAAAATGGAAATTTATCAGCAGATCATGCTTTGCAAAATGGAGGAAGACTTAGACAAACGACTACGGTAATTAATTAAAAAAGAACTAATGAATTAAGCTAACCCCCACCCTTTCCGGTGATTTTTGAGATTTTGGATCTCAATAGAAAAATTATTTATGTGCTTTGTTCTTTTTTTGTTTCTCTGCATAATATTCGGTGTAATTTTTCACAGAAATTTTTTAAAATTTTTCAAGCATTTCTAATATGAAAATCAAAACTTTTTAAAGTGGTATTATAATTTATTAACGCATTATAATAAAATAAAGATGAGTAATTCATTATGTGATTATTGAGCGGAAAATAACCTCTAAAATCCCTTAACTAAGTCTATGTCATTTTTATCTATTTTCTGGGATAATTCCAATTTATATTTAGGTTTCCTTATATCCTGACTATATTTTATTTTATATTTTATCTTTTTTGTATATTTTATTATTTTATTTGTATATTTTATCTTTTACATTTGAAAACTAGAAAAATTATCAAAATAAATTTCCATACTTCTTACGTCTAATCTCAATTACTAATTAAGCTAACAAGTTTTATGTATAAATTCTCTTAGTTCGAAATCTGTCTTCTTTCTTTTAATTATTTTATTTTCAAAACTAAAATATAATTTGTTTAATTGTTCATCCAACCATTAAAAAAATTTTTTATTTTTCTGTTTACCTTTTAAAGAACTTTAACTAAAGCCATAAAATAGATATAAAGTCACACATTTTGCTTTTGTTATGTGACATTAGCAACCACCAATTTGGATAAAATTGCTTCCATTTTTATAAAAAAAACAGCAAAAAAGTACATCCAAATTATCCTTTCCTTTGAATAGGAAAAAAATTTTTTAGAGGAAAATATTTAGAAAAAATGTCTATAATTATTAACTGAGCTTTATATTTTTGTTTATTTAATTGTTTTTTTATCCAAAATAAGGAATATGACAATTCCATTTATTTTTTTAAGTTTAATAAAAATATTTATTTTCGATTTATTTTTAGTCTAAAAAAGTAAAAAAATTATTCTAGATTTTTATTAAACAAAAAATCTTTTTGCCGTCTCTTTCTTAATTATAAAGTTTATTAATGAATTTATTAAT